GAAGGAAGGAAGGAAGGAAGGAAGGAAGGAAGGAAGGAAGGAAGGAAGGAAGGAAGGAAGAAAGAAAGAAAGAAAGAAAGAAAGAAAGAAAGAAAGAAAGAAAGAAAGAAAGAAAGAAAGAAAGAAAGAAAGAAAGAAGAGGGAGGGATGGAGGAAAAAATAAATAAGGGGTTAAAGCAGATAAGCACAGACTTTGAGAATGTTACTGAGCGTTCAAACAGGGGTCCAGCCCATCTCTTGCCTAGGACCCTCCTTCCCTCCCCCCAGAGCACCATCTCACCTGGCACGAGCCTCTTCCACCCTCCCACAGGCCAGCACACAGCATGCTGCTAGAGATGTGGCCTGGGTATGCCCGGTGGCAGAGCTTGGATTCCAGGATGCTGATGTTGGCACATTGCAGGGTTAGAGGAAACTTCACTGTTGGGGAAGGAAACAACGGAAAATCCACAGCTGACTTCATCACACACAGCCCCTGCCTTGGACCCCACCTGCAGCCTTCTCGAAGGAAAGAGGACACAGAGGGCCACAGCACAAGGCTCTCAGGGGAAGAGGGAGAATCAGGTAGCATGAAGGAGAAACAGAGGGAGATGGAGAGGGAGAGAGAGGAAGAAACCGAAAGATGTAGAGGGTTTGGTGACCACTGGTGGCCTAGTGGTAAGAAGCTGCACTGCAATCTCAGAGGTGCATGGTTCAAATCCACCAGATGCTCTGCTGGAGGAGGAAGAACAATCTCCTTCTGTACCAGTCAGATCTGATTTGATGGTACACACAAAAAAATAATGAAATAAAATAAAATTTATTTTAAAAAAAAGATAAGAGGGTAATGAAACAGGGGTGGATATAATAGAAACCAGAGAGCTTTTTTTGAGTTTTATCAACTCAACTTGTTGCTGGGATAGATTCATCACGGACCCTCCATTGAGTTTCTGAAGCTGTAAATGTCACAGGGGGAGATTGCCTGTCTTTGTTGCACGGAGTCACTGGAGGATTTGGAGTCACCAGAGAGGCACCACCTTTAGCAGCAGCCCCCCTACGGACGATGCTCTCTGGTGAGAGCGCCTCTTTGAGCTCAATGACATCAGCTATCAGGCTCTATAGCTTCAGTATGGATTACAACGTAACATAAATAAAGAAAGCACGAAATCGCACAATTAGACCCATGAACAGGAGCGCTGGCGGCCTACTGGCAAGAAGCAGCACTGCAATACCTAAGGGATGCGGTTCGAGGCCACCAGCTGCTGTTCCACGGCAGAAGGATGGGCAGTCTCCTCTCGTGCGTTTAACTGCGTCTGAAAACCCCACTGGAGGGTCAGCTATGGGTCGGTTCCAAGTATACAACAACAACAACAACTGACAAATAACACAATAGAGAAAAGATTGAAACTGCTAAGGGTTGAATTTTATTTAGATCAACAACAAATAACCATGGAAACAGCAGTCAAGAAATCAAACGTTGTAGTGCACTGGGAAAATTTGCCGCCAGGAACCTCTGTAAAGAGCAAGGCTGTCTGTTTAAAGACTTAGGTGCAGTGTGTGTGTGTGTGTGTGTGTGTGTGTGTGTGTGTGTGTGTGTGTGAAACTAATAGGAGATAATGTTTAATAAAGGATAAAGCATCATTAAAATATTACTTTCATTCTTTTTTAAAAAAAATAGCATTCAGTTTATTACAAATACTTAATATTGGCTTCCCATATGCCCCCCCCTTTTTTTTTTTGCATGTACCATCAAATCAGATCTGACTGGTACTGGAGGAAATTGTCCCTCCTTCTCCGGCAGATCATCTGGTGGATTCGAACCGTGTACCTTTGGGATTGCAGGAAAGCTTTTTGCCACTAGGCCACCAGAGTTCCCCCCCCCCTTTTATTTTTATCATAATTATGTTATCATCTGACTTAGGTGCGTTTTTAACAGCTTCATATATACGTGTGAAAGTTGGACAATGAATAAGGAAGCACCTCTGATCGGAGAGCTGGACAGGGAATAAGATGACAGAAGAAGAATTGATGCCTTTGAGGTGTGGTGTGAGAGGTGAACACTGAAGATCTCGTGGTCTGCAAAAAGAACACTCAGGTATCTATTGGAGAAAGTACAGCCGGAGTTCCCCTTGGAGGCTAAGATGATAAAGCTTCATCACGTATACTTTGGGCCAATTGCTAGGAGAGGCTATTCTTTGGAGACGAACATTATGCTTGGGAAGGCGGAGGGTCAGCAAAGAAGACAACCTCCAACCAGGTGGGTTGACATAGTCACTGCAGCAACGGTCTCAAGTGTGTCACAGATTGTGGCACAGGCTAGGACAGGGTTCAGATCTCATATTCATAGGGTCTCTGTAAGTCATACTAGGTTTGATGGCACCTCCCAACAACAACATTTAAAAATATATTAACTCTATTAAATATATGTCATTTGGAAGCAGGAGTAGCATCCAATTCCTATATCGCATGCCTCCGGAAACTCTATGAATGTTGATAAATGTCAGTAGTTGTAGAGGGGCTTCAGGCCTTTTGTTCATGGGATTGCTATGAGTCGTGCTCGACTCAAATGCAATCAACAACAACACAATATATTTTAAACTATGTTAAAATAAATTTTGCCTGTTTCTTTCTGGGGGAAAAAAAGAATTGGCACCTTTGAATTGTGTTGGGAAAGAATATTGGCTGTATTATGCTTTGCCAGGCTCTCGTATGATTTTTAGCCTCTGAAAACCTGCTGAAAGGTGAGCTATGAGTCAGTTTTCACTTGACAGTAAATAACTGTTAACAGCAGCAATGCCTTGCCAAAAGAACAAGTAAATCAAGGGAGCTCTGGTGGCCTAGTGGCAAGAAGCTGCACTGCAGTCCCCGAGGTATACAGTTCAAATCCACCAGATGCTCTGCTGGAGAAGGAGGGGCAAGCTCCTTCTGTAGCAGTCAGATCCGATTTGACAGTACACACTCACAAAATAATAATAATAATAAAAGTAAGTGTTGATCTCAGAGGTAAAAGCATTTTAATGGTGCTGATTTGTGACTAAGAGATGTACGCCTTATTTTGATTCTAAGAACATTTTTTTTTCTTATACTTAAATATTCTGGAAAACAGACTGTGCCTTTCAGTAAATAATGTCAAGTAATGATCAAAGCTCTGGCAGCCTAGTGGTAAGAAGCTATGCTGCAATGCCAAAGGCACATGGTTCTAATCCACCAACTGCTTTGGGGTGAAGACTGGACAGTCTCCTCCAGTGTGATTTACTGTCTCTGAAAAAGTGCTGGAGGGTCAGCTAATGGTTAGTTCCAACTCGACAGCACACAACAATAATGATCAACGGAGCCATTTTTTCCCTCCACTCTTAGAGGAGCTTTGGTGGTGCAGTGGTTAAGGAAATGGCTTCTGAACCAAAAGGTCAGAAGTTTGAGCCCATCACCCACTCCATGGGACAAAAACGAGGCAGTCTGCTTCTGTAAAGATTTGCAGACTCAGATATCCTATGAGATAATAATTCTGCTCTGTCTTATCGGGTCACTTCAGAAACAACTCAACCATGGGTCTTTTTGTTTCATTTTACTGGTTCATAGGATAATGAAGCACCTTACGATTTATGGCATCTTATATTTGATGCAGGGAGCTCTGGGGGCTTAGTGATAAGGAGTTGTGTTTCCCAACCCAAAGGCAAGCAGTTCAAAGCCACCAGCTGCTCTTCAGGTGAAAGATGGTCAATCTCTTCTTGTACTGTTATTTATAGCACCTGAAAACCCGCTGGGGAGTTAGCTATGAGTCAGTTTCAACTCAATAGCACATAACAAAAGCAGTATTTGATAAACTGTGTGTGGGGAGGAGTGGGGAGGGAGGTAGCTAGACAGATAGATAGGACTATTAGAAGAAAATAAAAGCACTATCATTGAGTTGCTTTGAACTCACAGTGACCCTAAAAAGACAGAGACTAGATAGATAGCTACATAGCTAGATTGATAGACACGATGAGAAGGAGGAGAAGGGGGAAGAGAGAGAGAGAGAGAGAGAGCGCGCAGTAACAGACCCTTGACTTGGAACACAGGAGTTCTGTTTCTGGTAAGCCCCTACCTTTGGGGCTGGACACAGCCCCCCAGCCCGAGATGAGGCACTGGGTGCCTGGAGTGACACAGGTCTCACTGAGGTTAAGAGGCTTCACAGCAGAATTCAGCTTTGCCGTCTTGGGCAGCCGTATCAGCATGATGTCATCATTGTGGTCTTGAGCCCGGAGGTCATCATTGAATCCAGGGTGGGGGAAGAACTCTGTGACCCTGAACAACTGCTCTGGACCCTCCCACCGCCAGAGGTGGTGCTCCCCGAGGCGAACCCACAGGTACCTGTGGGGACAGAGCCTGGTGGTCAAGCTCAGGCAAAGACGGGTTTCTTCTCTGCCCTAGTCTTCTTTCTCGTTCTACCAGGAAACTGTGTGACCTTCCGTAAGGCACCTTGGTCTTCCATAAAGCACACCTCTGAGCCCCTATCATCTATGTGAGACCTAGGGTGTAACTTTAAGCAAAATATGTACCCTCTCTGTCTTCTTTTGTGTTAGGATGCCATGTGATTTTAGGCAAGACATATACTCACCCTGTAAATCTTTCATGTTATATGATGCTGTGTGATCTGAAGCAAAACGTACACCCTCTCTGTTCTGTCCACTAGAACGCTGCATGACCCACCAAAGGCTGTATCTTCTCTCTGGACCCATTCTTCTGCTCTGATCCCTTGTCTGCATCTATCTTTGAAACCCTCCCCTAAAGCTCAAAGACTCTCTTAGCCACATATTGAATAAGCCACCACCATGGACTCGGCCTCACCCAGAGGCCTGGTGGTGACCTGAGTCCCCCAGCATTGTGTGGGCATGTGGAGGCCACACCCACTATACAACAGCTGCCACACCCCCTGCCCCCACAGGTCTGGTGGCTTCTATGAGGAGTGACTGTGTGCGCGAGCGTATATATGGAAAACTGAACTGAAGGCATTCCGCTTAGCTTGTGGCCAGTGTGTGTGCTTGGGCTTCTAACTACCGTATCTCTTACCTTCGGTACATTTCTTCCTACACTTGAACCTTGCCTTCTTTTTTTTAGTTTTGGGGTTGCTTTTTGGTGTGTTTTTTTAAACCTTCTCTGCTTGCTGTGCTCTGAATCTGAGCCCAGGACAGCTAGAGACCCTTGGACTTGGTGAGTGTGGAGTGTTATTTCAACTCTGCCGTCTCTGATACTCCCTTATCTTGGCTCGACCTCTGAGAGGTCAGGCTCTCTCATACTTCACTCCTTCATGTCTGCTGCTGCATTTCTTTGACTTCCACATCCCTGCTTCTGTCTTGCTGTGTTTTTGAACTGAAATCCAAACCTTATTCTCCTAGCCTGCTGTAAAGATCTGAGATTAACAAGGCCCTATGGGGAAGCAGTGTATGATGGGAAATTCCCACACAGATGTCCCAACATCTATACTTCATCCCTGAAGGGCAGAGTATTGAAACAGTGGGGATTCCAGTAACCCTTCAGAGACAGTGTAGAGAAGATTCTGGGATTTAGTGGGTTCTGAGAGTTCAGAATGCTTAGAGTCTGAAGATTCTGGTGGTTTAGTGGTAAGGAGTTGTGCTGCCAACTCAGACGCACACAGTTCGAACAAGCCAGCTGCTCTGTTGACAGGACACAGATGGCAAATTTCCTGTGAAATTTACTACTTTTGAAAACTCACTGTAGGTTCAGTTCTGGCTTGACGGTACATAACAAAAACATTATACGAAAGACCTTTGGGGGAATCATGATTGAAAGACTCACCTAAGCGCAGCTGGCAGTTTAAGCCCATCGTCAGGATTATAATCTTGGCAACCCTGTGGGACAGGTCTACTGGGCCCTACAAAGTCACTGTCAGTTGGAATTGACTCAGTGGGAACAGCTTTTAACAGTCTGTGAATCCAATAATTGGGGATAATTAAACTAGATTTTGTCATCCTCGAATTCCATAAATGTATAGATTCAGACATTTGAGAGTCAGATTCCTTTAAAAAATAAGTTAATAAAATAAGTTAACCTTAAAATAATGAGGAAAGGAAAGAACCTGCAATTCCAGTAGTTTCAGACTCTAGAATTCTCTGGATAAGCTTTCTGAATTTTGAGACTCTGGGGTGATAATATTCTAAGCGATTAGGTCTGCTAGCATTCTGGTGGCATAGTCCAAAGCATTTTGCTTCCGTAACTAAGAGGCCGTGTATCGCCAGCAGGTCACATCTGCCAGTGGCACCATGGGAGACAGACATACGGTCTCTTGATGTTGAGATCATAGTTTCAAAGCCTGAGGGAGGGTCACTGTGGATCAGAACTGACTTGATGGCCCTGAGTTAGAGGTTCTGAGGCATACAGGATACTAAGCTTTTCAAATTCTCTTGGTTCAAGAGTCTAGAAATCCGTGAACTGCAGGATTCTAGAATGTTGTTGTTGTTGTTGCCATGTGCTGTCAAGATGCGGCCAACTCATAGCTGACTCTCCAGCGGGTTTTCAGGGGCAGTAAATCACATGGGAGGAGACCGGTCATCTTTCTCCTTTGGAGGAGCAGGTGGATTTGAACTGCTTGACTTTGGGTTGGCAGCGCAGTTCCTTACCACCAGGCTATTGTTATTGTTGTTGTATACTGTAGAGTTGGAACCAACCCATAGCTGACTCTCCAGTAGATTTTTCAGAGGCAGTTAATCACACGGGAAGAGAATGGGCCTCCTTCTCCCATGGAGCGGCTGGTGGAATTTGAACCATGTGCCTTTAGGATAACAGCACAGCTTCTTGCCACCAGGCCACTGTTTTTGATTGCCTTCAAGTTGAGCGCAGCTCATAGCGACCCTATGAACAAAAGGCCTGAAGCCTTTCAATAACAATCAACATTTAGCAAAGTTCATAGAGTTTCCAGAGGCATGTTGTTTAGGAAGTGGATGCCACTCCTGTTTCCAAACAAGGCCACAGAGCTCCTTAATTCTAGAATAGTGTGAGTCAGATTATAGGGTGGTTTGTATAGGCAGTGAACCTAGAAACTTCTGACTCTAAGCTTCTAGGATTTCACTATGCAGTACAGCTTTTGAAATGTGACTGACTGAATTGAGATGTGCCCTAAGTGTAATATACAGGCTGGAAAATTTGGAAAATTAAGCTTTAAAAAAGCAAACACCCCTCCCAGATTTCTCATTCGTAATTACTTAAAACTTGACTCCATCGAAAAACACTCTTTCACTGTTGTTGAGTCAACTCATAGCTAACCCTTCAGCAGGTTTTCAGTGGCAACTCAACAACAACAAAGGGCCTCCCTAAAACTCCTAGGGGAGCGGTGCTTAGTGGTAGGAAATTGCGCTCCCAACCCAAAGGTACAAGGTTCGAATCCACCAAGATCGATTCCAACTTGATAGTACACAATAACTCCTAACAGCAGCTCTTTCATCCTCCCCTTGCCTCCAACCCTCTGCCCAGCGTGTCCAGCCCCGGCCACTCACGGCTTGCGGCAGTGGGCAGCAGTAAGCAGCCAGCGGTCGCTGACGAGGGACGCTCCGCAGAAGAGGTGCGTAAGGAAGAAGAGGCCGGCTTGCCAAGGCTGTGAGTTGGGGGGGCATTCCTCGGCTCCGATGGTCCGGGTGTCTCCCCAGCAGTGCCCTGGGGTGGAGGTGAGGAGAGGAGGGGTGGGTTAAATGCATACTGGAATGAGGCGCCCACGCGCAAGAAAAGGGCAGCTCTATAGCCTAGCGCGCAGGGTGGCTGAAACCTGGGGGGGCCAGGAGCAAGATGATGGGTTAGCGGGACCATGGAGGGGCAGCCTGGATAGATGGGGATGGAGAGGGGAGGGAGAGAGCCTCACCTGCCAAAAGAGAGAGCAGAGAACAAGCCAATAGCAGCTTCATGGCCTCAGGACTCGTGGGTCCCAGAGCGCGCGCTTGGCACGGAGTGCTTCTTTATGGAAAGCCATGCCTTCGGCTTCCTTCGCCACAGAGCCGCCTCTGCGATTAATCAGTGTTAGGTAATGTCACCGGGGGAGGGGGAAGCCCTGGGCTGGGCTGGGGCGGGGCGGGGACCCCTGCTGGGATAAGCTGGCCACCGAGCTGAGGGAGGCTTGGCTAGATTGGGCGAGGGATGTGGAGCTGCTTTGGCTGGATCCTCCTTCAGGATCCCCAGAGGGGGCTGTCCCCATCCTCATGACCTCAGAGAGCAGGCTCCGGGATGGTTGTGGTCGGCACAGGGAGGAGGGAGGGAAGCAGGGAGGGTCCCGAAGGCGGAGTCCTGGCGGGAGAAGCGAGTTCTTCTAGGATGAGGTTGAGGTGAGCCGTGTCTGACGTCACTGGGAAGGCTGGGGTAGGGGTGGGAGGGGTGGCGCTGGGCATGGAGGTAAGAACCAGGACCCTTTGATGAGGAGGTAGACACTATGGGGGAAGGGGCAGAGGAAGCGAGATAAAGCGAGGGAAATGGGGACCAGGAGAGACTTCCGGGGAGACCCAGCACACAATGTGGACCCACCGCTGTAAAGTCATCCCAGCGCAAAGCGACCCTACAAACCTACTGCCCACCTTTGTGGTAGCAGCTCAACACTTAACACTGGCGCCAGCAGGACCCCTTTAAGTGACTTTGCCACTCATTGCTGTGAGTCAGTCAGAAGCAGGTGGTTCCAAGCTGACCCTCCAGAAGTTTCTAGATCACACAGGAGGTGACTGCCCATCCTCCTCCCTCAGAGCTACTGATGAATTCGAACCAGGAGAGAGAGAGAGAGAGAGAGAGAGAGAGAGCGAGCCAGAGCCTTAGGGACATCAGCACAGTTTCCAAGAGGCTATGCTACCAAAGCAGGGGAAGACCCTCTATGAGGTGGATTGATTCAGTGACTGGGGGTAATCGGGATGGGTGTGTCAGAGGCAGTGCGGTTGGCGCAGGATAGAGCAGGGTTTAGGGCTGTTGTGCTATGAGTCGCAAACGACTCCATGGCACATAACAACAACAACAACAACAGGACAGAGGATGTAGGACTGTCCCTTCCCCTCAGGGTTCGCGAGGCTGCGATCTTTACTGGAGCAAAGGGCCCCGTCTTTCTCCCAGGAAGCAGCTTGTGGGCTTGGAATTCTTGGTTAGCAGCTCACTGTTTAACCCATCCCACCACCTGGGCTCTTTCAGAAAGTATGAACACTGGGCACACACGCTTACTCACCCCACGGAGCCCTTCCGGCCCCAGGCATTTGGGCCCACACGTGGCACTGATGATGAAACACCTGGCTGTGAACTGACAGATACTTGGAACCCATGCGGAGGTGCCTAGGTAGAAAGGCCTGGCTGTCTGCTCCCCAAAGACCGCCGCTGTGAAAACCACCAGGGAGGGTGTTTCTGTTCTGCAGCACGTTGGGTCCTGAGAGTCCAGATCTGCCGCACCTGGGTGGATTTTGGTTCCCACAAGGTCAAAAGCGTGGAGAAATGTGGTTCCCGTAGAACGAACCCATTCCTATCCAGAGGACTGAAGGAAAGCTCCCTTCTTCACACTCCCACTGCCCCAAGGATCTAGGTACCCAGTCTGCCTGGAACGAAACACGTTTCTCCTCAAGAACCATCAAGTTTATATCCCGTTTTGGTTTTTTTTTTTTTGTCCCAGCCCCTTGGTCCTCCATCTCTCCATTCTCCCCTCCCCCTTCTCCCTCCATCCCCACTTCTTGCCCAGTGAACAGCCCCTGGAGTGTCCAGCCCTGGCCTGACTCAGCTCTGTGGACCCTGCCTGACCTACTTTAGAGCTGGGCTTATGAGAGGCCTCAAGAGTTACTAATTGAATGAGTGAATGTCTTTCTCCACATCCTTCTTTCTCAATATCCTTCATCTCCTATTCATCCATTAAGACTCGATCAAATGCCTCTTCCTCCAGGAAGTCTAATCTGATTTCTCTAGGCAGAGGCAATTTCCACCTCTCCTTGGGGTCACAGCCCCTTCCTCTTGTCTTTTCCACAGTCGTGTCTATCAGCCTGGATCTGACATCCTCCCTCACTAAGTGAGGAGGACTTTAAACACTTTTGTTGTAGATGATCAAAGACTTCCATATGGATTCTCAACATTAAGAGGACAAAACTCTTCACCACTGGCCCAATAAGCAACATCATGATAGATGTTGTTGTTGTTGTTATGTGCCTTTGAGTTGCCTGCAACTCATAACAACCCTATGAACAACAGCCTTAAACCTTGCTCTATCCTGTGCCCCCATTTCCCCAGGAACTGAATCAATCCATCTCATCGAGGGTCTTCCTCTCTTGTGCTGTCCCTCCACCCTCCTAAGCATGACATCCCTCTCTAAGGACTGATCCCGCCTTGCAAACATATCCAAAGTATGTCAGACGAAGGTTCGATAGGTGTTGCACACTGAGGGTAAAGCATGTTAATAAGTAATAATGAGACAAAACACCAAGAATGAGATAAAACAGAGAGCATCAAAAACAAGGGGCCAGCAGTTCCAATCAACAGAAGTGCCACAAGGCACACCTCTCTGTGTATTTATTGAGAATCAGGGGAAGCAAATCATAAAGAGAATTCTCTTGTAAATGAAGCTGAATTTTTCCTCTATTGTCAACCTGATGCTTAGCTCAGGAAGGATTTCATATGTACTAATACTCCCTCTGCAGGGGGACCCTAGCTGTCTCTTGTCTACAGGAAACAGCTCATTTCCTGTGATCTGTCACAAGAGAAATTCCAACTTATAAATGTGTGGTTCCTTCAATTCCTGAATAAGCATACGGGTTTTCATATAATTTTGGTATGAAATTTGGCTTCCCATAGATAGATATAATTGTTATTGTTGTTATTTGCCATCGAGTCCCTTGTGACTCATAGCGACCCTATGTACAAGAGCCCTAAACCCTGCTCTATCCTGTGTCAACCTCACTGTCTCTGACACACTCACTCCCATCACCGCAATTATAGAATTGATCCATCTCATCAAGGGTCTTACTCTCCTATATAAAGATTAAAAATGTTGATTATTTTGTCTTACTGGTATGTCCAGTCAACACCTCGGCACCAGCAATCAAGAAATCAAAAGGTGTGTTGCAATGGGAGAGTCTGCTGTCTGAAGTACTGAGGACCAATGACGTCAGCTCAAAAACTAAGGCTTGTCTGATCCAGGCCACTGTCTTTTCACTCACCTGCTATGCATCCGAGAGCCGGACAATCAATAAGGCTGACAGAAGAAGACTGGGTGCCTTTGAGCTGTGGTGTTGGAGGAGAGAACTGAACATCCCATGGACGGCCAAAAGAACAAACAGATATGTCTCGGAGAAAAATGTAGCCAGAGTGCTCCTTAGAGACAAGGTCAGGAATCTTCTTCTCACATCTTTTGGGCATGTTATTAGGAGAGGTTATTCCTTAGAAGGGGGCAGCGTGCTTGGGAAGTAGAGGGTCAGTACAAGAGAGGAAGACCCTCAGTGACATAGGTTGGCATAGTAATGACTGCAACAGGACAGAGTTCATTCAGATCTGTTATCCTTAAGTTCACTATGAGTGGTACTTGACTCAACCACATAGAACAACAAGAGTTGGTGGCTCAGTGATTAAGGTATTGGGCTCCTACGCAAAAGGTTGGCATTTTAAACCCACCAGCCGTTCCTTGAGAGAAAGGTAAGGCAGTCCACTTTGGTAAAGATCTTGTCGTTAGGTGCGGTTGAGTTGAGTACACCTCACAGTGACCTTATGAGCAAAAGATCTGAACCCTGTTCTGTCCTGTGTGCCACCCTCACACTTCCTGACACACAAGAGCCCGTTGTGGCCCTCACTGTGTCGAACAACTTTGTCAAGGATCTTCCTCTCCTTCGCTGACCCTCGATTCTTCCAAGGATCATGTTCTTCTCCAAGGAAGAGCCCCTTGTAGTAATATGCCCAGAATGTGTGAGACGAAGCCTCATCATTCTTGCCTCCAAAGAACACTCTGGCTGCACCCTCTTCAAGACATATTTGTTTATTCTTTTGGCCATCCATGGGATGTTCAGGGCTCTTCTCCAACACCACAGCTCGAAGGCACCAATTCTTCTGCATCCCTATTCACTGTCCAGCTCTCAGATGCATGGAAAGTGATACAACCATGACCTGAATCAGATGCACCTCAGTCCTCAAGCTGGCATCTTTACTCCTCAATGATTTGGAGAGGTCTGTAACTGCAGACTTTCCCAGTGCAGTGCTTCTCCTTATTTCCTGACTGCTGGTACCAAGGATATTAATTGTGGATCCAAGCAAGATGAAGCTGTTGGCAGTTTCAATCTTTTCTCCATCCATCATGGCGTTGTCTATGAAAACCCTATGAACACACTAGAGGAACATGGATCGTTAGAGTAATGTTGTTAGGTGCTGTGAAATCGACTATGACTCATAGTGACCTGCCGAGTGCAACTTCGCCGCCAGCAGCCGAAGAAGACTCAGACAAACAGGATTCGTTGCAGAAGCTTTATTGAACAGAAAATGGCGAAATGGCCCCGTCTTTTTCCCCGGCACTTGCTTATATCCCTCTCGGTTCCACGCCTCCTGCTCTTACGTCTTAGAATCTCATTGGTGTTGAGGTCTTTCTAAACCAGGTCCAATGGACCAATAGCAATATTGCAGCCATAAATGGTGTTGTTTGTGCGTTAGTAAGTCAATGAGGAAGTGAGGTATCAGTGCCATCTTGTAATGGCGGCGTGCAAGTGCAGACCGCGCATGTGCAATGACGTCAATGATCTTAAACGGCTAGCCTGCTGCCGCGGTCGGCCTGCTGCAGTGACCCGTATAAACAATAGCCTGAATCTTTATCTTGTACCATCCTCATCATCTCTGATATACTTGAACCCATGGTTACAGCCACCGTGTCATTTCATCTTGTTGAGAGTCTTCCTCTCTTCCTCGGACCCTCTCTGCTTTTCTA